CTTTCCTCCCGGGCAGCGTGACGTGTTTGACATCCATTTCTTTGTTGGTGCTTCTTGAAGTCCACGAGGTGAACAGTGATGACGGCAGACACCATGATGATCAGACCCACAGAGAACACCACCATCTTCACCAGGAACACACCACAGTGAACACACGCATGGTAGATTTATTCCTCTGTAAATGCTTCTTAAGCCAGTTCTTCACAAAAGATTCATCAGGTCACAAACTAACACTTCACACTGGAAACATTACAACACACGACACACAACTTTTTGCATCACATACAAAACAAAAGTGGTCACACTCTTCAGACGTGACTTTTTCTTTCTCTTCTGTCCTTTTTTTTGTAAACGGTGTCCGGTCCACAGTTCTGCACGAGAGGACCAACTACCTCAAGGTTAGTCTTAATATGTGCAATAAACTGCAGCTAGAAGCAACATTTAAAAGAGCTAAATAAATAAAAAGCTGGTTGCCAAACTTGATGTTTGTTGCAGTCTGTTCAGAGACGTTAAGGAGGACGTATGAGGAGGAAGAGTCTCTGACACACAGACACAAACATTCACTCTCACATTCACACATACAATTAACCCCCAGATGCATATTTTGACATGAATATTGAAAAATTCCATAGTATAGCATGAAAAAACATAAAAGTCATACTATAGTAAGTCATAAAACATTTTTTGTCCTTTGTTCTGTTGTCGGGTCGAAGGGATTGATCTTAATTTTTTCAAATATTCAACTTTTTAGTTTTGTGATTATATTTTAATTTGAGGAAACCGGACATGCGGCTGAATCCATGTAGGATCAAGGTTACATTATAAATGATATTATTATTATTAATAATATAATTCTTAATATAGTTAAAAGTTTTACATTATTAATCATTTATTATCGATGACTTTCCTCCAACAATCGCGTCATTGGCAACGAGCTCCCAAACATCTCGGTGGACCCCTGATTAGTAATCGAGTCGTACCTGAACTGTGTGGCTCCATCGTTGCGTCTCTGACCCCACAGACCACGTGACTACAGCTACAGCCAAGGACATCCATCAGGACTCCATCAGGAATCATCGCTCCACCCTATTTACTCCTTTTCTTCCCGTTAATTCATCAATACCGCCACCAGATGGCGACGTTATCAAACGTGAAAAAAACCCTTTAGGACACAAAGCCAGTGACGTCATCTGCGGAGGGACCGAGTGTGTGTGAAGGACAAATGTCCTGAGACGCATTACGTCATCCTCCACTAATATGATAATACATCTCAGTGCCAAGAAATGAGAGGAGCCATAATCCACAGAACGACTTCACATGTGAACAAGGGGATGAGATGGAGGTGATTGGTGGTGGAGAAAGAGGTGGAGGTGTGGGTGGAGGTGGTGGTGGTGGGGGGGGCTTCTCCCTTGAGTCTGGAGTGCAGTGATGAAGGTTGTTCCAGACATTATTCCTCAATGAGAGCAGAAGGAAAGAGGAGAAGATGATCACTGTTACACACTGAGTAAAGACGAGAGACTGTCTTCTGTCCTGCTCTTTCTTTTCCAGATGTCTCTTATTTCTTTTTCGCTTTGTCCTCATTTTCTCCCCCTGTCCGTTAGAGGAGAGAAGGACTGAGGAGGTCAACGGTGAGGAGAAATGAGACAAAGATGAGTAAGATGGTTGCAGAGAGGGGGAAGGTCTGAAGAATGAAAAGGTGAATTGGAAGCGATGCGTGAATTTGAGGACAGGAGGAAAAAAGAGCGGAGCGGTGAGGAGACGTCAAGAAGGAACCGAGGGAACAAAAGAATCAAATGCAACCAATAAGACAGAAGAAAGGGACACGAGAACTGCTGGAATGGGGGAGAAAAAAGGGGACAAAGGGTGAGAGAGGTGAGGAAAGAGGAAATAGACGACTGTAGAGGATGTAGGAGGGGAGGAGAGGATACATTTTGAAAGGAGGACACAGAAGAGGGAGAGAGAGATGGAGAGGAGAGGAAGGGAGGTGGTAGGAGATAGGAGGCAAAACAGGAGAGGAGAGAAGAAGTAGAGGAGGAAAAGTGACTGCATGGCTGAGGAGAAGACATGAGGAGAGGAGAAGATGTGATGGAGGACTCAGGAAAGGTGATGGACTGAGGAGAGAGGAGGAGAGGACAGGAGAGAGGATGGACTAAGGAGAGAGGATGAGAGGACAGGAGAGAGGATGGACTGAGGAAAGGAAAGAAGAGGAGAAGATAAGTGAGGGAGGAGAGGAGAAGGAGGCAAAGAGGAAAGGAAACAGTGTTAACGAGAGAGAAGGATGGACGGGATGATTTGAGGAAAGAACAAAGAGACTCGAGGAGAACCGAGGACGGCAGGAAGGAAAGACGTCCAGAGGACATCGGGACAATATTTCACATTAAAAAGAGTGACAGGAAAAGAGACAAAGAGACAAAGAAGAAGAGAAAAAGACACATGAGTTTTAAATGTCACGATCCACACACACAACACAGACACACAACACAGACACAACACAGAACACAACACACAACACAGACACACAACACAGACACAAAACACACAACACAGACACAACACAACACAGACACAAAACACACAACACAGACACAACACAACACACACAACACAGACACACAACACAGACACAACACAACACACACAATACAGAAACACAACACAACACAGACACAAAACACAGACACACAACACACAACACAGACACACAACACAGACACACACTTCCCACCTCGGCTCAGAAGCGTTTGATCTGAATAAATAATACGGATCAAACTCCAGAGATGAAACACAAATAGTCTGAAAATACAAAATCTGACTCTTTTGTTTCCTGATGATAAATAAATGACAAATAAAGGAACATTTCCTGCTGTTGTCTTTTTATTTTCTGTCACACTGTGGAAAAATAATTACATACATTTAAAAAAGAAAATTAAACAATATGTTCAAACAAACGTTAAATGACATTAAAAGGACATTTGAATTGTCCTCGAATAAAAGGGAAAAGCAGTAAATCAACATGAACATAATTCACCTGTGAACAATACATGGGGATAAAGTAAAGAGTTGCAGCGTGGAGAATAAATGCTGATGGAAACACGTCCTCACACCTCCACGTCCTCACGAGCAACACGAGTCCTTCAGGACGTCCCGATCAGCGTCCTCACGCCCAGCGACGCCAAGCCGAACATCAATCCTGCTCCCTCGTGCAGATGTTGCAGAGAGCAGCTGGACGAGGGACGAGCTGCGCTGGTGTCTTAAGGCCACGCCATGTCTCCTTCCCTCCGTCTCCTTCCCTCCGTCTCCTGCCTCACCAACAGTGTGTAACTCCTCTAAACCAAGTCAACACGCAGCGTTTATCGGGTGGAAAAGGCCTTTTCGGCCCGTTACGTTTTCCCGCTCTTTTGAGGAGGTTTGAAGTTAGAATTCTTCAGACTTTTAGGACTTTGAATGTGTGTTTCTGTCCATTAGAATAAACTCGTTGTTTCGCTTCTTTACTTCTCTAGACGATAAACAAAGTTACCTTGTAAAGATGAATTTAACTGATGGAATCATTTCCTGTCTTTCATACGTAATTTGTGTTTGTCGGCTCAGTTGATTACGAGGAGTCTCAGTGTTGATTAATACTGATCTTATATTTCCACCACACACGTTTGACCACAGTCATTTCTTCCACTGGGGAGGAAACACCAACAGTAGAAAACAGAAAACAAGGAAATGAGATTTAAAACACTGATTTCCAAAGAGAAATAGATGATGAGGATGAGCTCATGAAGCTGTATATTCTGTAACAGACATTGATGCACGCTGAGCGTGTTATACAGACTCCATTTGATCAGCTTGGGGAACGTTTGGGAGAACGGTATTTTATCTGTTTCTGTTTCATGGAAAGAAGGTTGAGCCTCTTGATGTGGAAGCTGGTGGCGAGTAAAGTCCATCAAACTGCATCTGAGGCTCACATGCAGAGAGAAAGTGACCTGAAATAACGGTTTAATGTCTCTGTTCTCAGGTTCAGACCTTTTTCACCACTGATCCAAATCTTCACGTCCCCCTTTCAGACACCCTGAAGGGTTGAAGGCCTCTTCTTGGTACCTGGACGGCCTCAGGACCTCCTCCGTGTCCAAGTGACTCATTCTACACAGAGTTATGGCGACAGTCAGGTGACAGAAGCTCTGTAAGAAGCTCGTGACGAGGTAATAGCTTGCAGAACCAAACGCTTTGATGACCAAATCAACTTAAACGGGTTCTTCTCTCCACAACCACTGAGCCTTTAGTGAAGGTCACACATGGAGAAGATAACAAACGAGCTGAAGAAACTCTGCCTGGTCGGATCCCCTCGCTGGGTGGAGAGCGGAGGAGTACGGCCGCTGCATCAGTAGAGGTCAGAGGTCAGTAGCAACACGCTGATGGTGACGAGCCTGTGGGGTTAAAGGTCAATCCCACGCTGACTCAGCACGGTGGACGAATCTCAGACACGAAATACCAGCAGCTTTTTCTGCTGCAGGGAACAAACCAGTAAACAAAGTAGCGTGTGAGCGGAACAGAAGCCTCTGCACCTCCACGCTGACGCGTCGGCCTCCACGAGGCTCAAAGCCAGCGGCCGCTCCGCCTCCATCCATCTGAACGTCGCGCGACGCGTGAAAGAAAAGGCCGTCCAGTCCGGAGACGGGAAGCCAAAGACGCAGACGTCCATCCAGCAGGATTTGGCTCTGCTGCATATTTATCATTTTGGAATGAAGCTCTTCTAAATTCTTCTAATTTTTAGACATCAGCTTTAAAAGACTCATCCGTCGCCTCTTTCTCGTTTCTTAAGGAAACTCACAACGTTTCCAATAACGATCACGTGGCCGCGTACATATTAAAACGTGAGTTCCCCCCAAAACGCTGAACCTTTGGTCCACAACTCCTTATAAAAATACTATCAAATGTTTCTCAAGGACATTTCTTTTCCAGACGTTTCGGTATAAATATGGAGAGAAAACAAACAAAGTGAGAGACGCACGTCCTTCTGGACACTCGAGGGAAGTTTCTCTTTGTACAAACTGCCAGAATGAAAAAGCGCTGCGGCCAAAACCTCGTATCACAAATACAGTTTACAGCGTCGACCTCGAGTGAAAGATGAAGTCTAGAAACGCTTCAAAGTGAGTCAGGAGGAGGAGAGCGAGCGTAGAGGGACGTCTGCTACCACTGCTCCTCCTCCTCCTTCCCTCTCACGCGAGACTCCTACAAAACCTCTGAGTCCAGACCCCCCCCCGCCCCCCCCATCCTCATCCGCTCTTTACAAAAGAACACATTGTTCAATAGGTTGTCGGCACAGAAGCATCGGCACTCTGGTCCGAATATCACCGAATAAAAATGCCAAATATATTCATGGTCCAAGCTGCCGCGTTGCTGCAATACATCGAAACCAGTGAGTCTTTCAAGACGTGTACGTGTTGTTTTTGTTTTGCAACAGTCAGAAAATGCATAAACATGTGTATTACACTGCTGCATGTCACTGCGCCGCATCACGCTTCTACAAGGAAATAACTCCCAAATCAGCCAAATCTCCATTTGCGCTTATTTACAGAGATGTGATGGACGTGAAGAGTCGGTTCCTCCGGTTCCTCCTTCAAAGTGCCCGTCTGCTCTTCAGTCTCTGCGCTCTCGATTGTGGTTCTCGCCGTCGCTTTTGTCGGAGCACAAACTCAAAGTCTGCTGTCGCTCTGCACTTTTTGCTCGTGTTGCTGCTGGATCACGCGAGGAGCTGCTGACTCGTTCTCATTGGTCCAGAGAGACGAACGCGGCGCCGAGCACCGGACGCCATGGAGAAAAAGAACAATGGGTATTTGATATATTCAGGTTCTTTAGCGTTATAAGTACTGCAACTGCAAAACGCCAGTCAAAGTGTGTGTGTGTGTGTGTGTGTGTGTGTGTGTGTGTGTGTGTTCCTCAAACATGAGTCTGCATCCGCTGTGTGTGTCTTTGGGAATAGTCAGAGGGTGGAGACGAATATGAGAAGCGAGTGGAGGTTCCATACTGCCCCAGACCGGTTTCGGGACTTTGTTGCCCCGGGCCCGGTCCCTGTCCTGGTCCTGGTTCCGGTCCTGGTCCTGGTCCTGGTCCTGGTCCTGGCCCTTGGCCCGTCGGATACATCTCGTAGGCCGGACCTTCCTCCATGGTGGGAGCGAAGCCCGTGCGGTAGCTGGGGTACTGGGAGGGGTACCCGTAGGGGTCGTAGGCCAGCTGTGGCGTGCTGTCCAGCAGGTCTCCGGGGTAATCGCCTGGCGATTGGAGAGCCGGGACGGGAGGCGCCTGCTGGCTCTGCGCCGCCCTGGCGAAGGTGTTGAACTGGGCGTAGGTGGCGTGGGACATCCTGGACGGGGGCCGCGGGTCGTAGCAGCCCGCCCTGGAGCCCGGCACGCCGCTGGGGGGAACGGCACCGCTGGCGCCCGCCGGCGGTCCGCCGGAAGCGGCGCCGGCCGGTCCGGCGTTGGGGTTGGGGGCGCGGAACTCGCCCTGGTAGTGGACGGCGCGGGACTGGGGGCGAGCTTCGTCGTGGCTGGTGGCCCGGACGTTGTAGTAGCCGTTGGTCGGGTCCTGCGATCAGAGGGCGAGAATATTAGTTTGATATTATTACTACAGGGCGCGTTATCACGGGTTACGTGACCACGGAGCTGGTGACACGTGACCCAAATCCCACTTCAAGGAGCCAAAGCGCCTCGGCGGCGGCGGCGGCGGCTCACCTTGAGCTCGTACTCCTCCCGGGTGTCGCTCTCGCTCCGGATGTCCTGCTTCAGGTCCATGTCGTCTTTGAACGGCTGAGTGGAGGGAGAGAGGGAAACAGAGGGCAGAAACTAAACCGTCAAAGGAGAAACACACACACGGAAAGAGGGAGGGAGGGAGAGAGAGGAGAGGAGGAGGGAGAGAGAGAGGGAGGGGGGAGGAAAACACAGTTTCAGAGACTGGAAGAAGACGCTCGGTGGCTTTGAAATGAGTTTTGGACCGAGCTCGCCGGTTCGATTCCCCGGGACGCCGGGTGGCTCCACGCTTTACTAAAAGGACACAATGTTAAAGGCAGAGTGTGTGTCCTTGTGTGTGTGTGTGTGTGTGTGTGTGTGTCAAAGCCCGTTGACCCGTACGCCTCCTCTCCGCGGCCCCCCGGTGACTCAGTCGGGCGTCTACTCACTGAGTACATGGCCTTGACCATCCGCGTTGCCGTGGAGACGTCGGCCGCCTCCTCCTCCAGGCCGTGCGTCTCCTTGTTGACCGTCTCTACCTTGATGTCGGGTTTACCGAGGGTGACGCCCCGGCGGCCTGAAAGAGAAACACGACCTCGGCTCACGTTCTGGGTCAAGATGGGAACATGGTTCATTTTTAAAGAGCAACAAACAATTTTCTATTTAATGCTGTTTTGTCTCATCGTTTTCTATTTGTTACAATTCAGCATGAAGGAAATAATTCCTTTGGCATAAATTTTGTCTTGTAGGTTGTAAGTGAACCGTGAACCCTCCTCAACATTTAAATACTAATAATATATCTTCTTAGTTTCTGATGGAGCAGAAAGTGGTGACAAAAGTGGCAGAAAAATGAATATATTCTGAGAAAGAGGGTAAATCTTTTATTTATTTCAGCTTCTTTTAGACGTTTCTTGCTACGAAACATAACTGTGGTGGCGAATGGTTATTTTTAGTGACTCTTATTAGCGTGTGAGTCAGTTTAGAGTCTGAATTTAGTGGCGTCACATGAACATAAAGATGCAGAAAGTTGAATGTGCACAGAGGTGAAGATTAAACATGTTGTATGTCATTTCGTTGAAAGACTTTCATTTGATAGAATCTGTGGAATGTTGGAGCCGATGAAACAGTTCAATGTGTGAGCATAATCATAATATACTCATAATCTCATAATATTGGCTAAAGATAAATACACATTTTAAAGTCTTTCCCTTTTTCAGCTCTCCACAAGAACTGCTCACCCGCGTCCAGCCGAAGCTCCGATGTGGTCAACAGCTCTCAGACTACAAAGGGGAATCGGAGTCGTTCTGAATGTGAATCCAGACTTTACGCCTCGTGTAACCCGACGTCTCATCTCCGTCTCTACACCCCGAGCACACAGACGTCAATATCTGTTCTCGCTCCCAAAAGTTTGAGTCTCTGTTTCCAGGTGCGATCTTCTCTTTGGTGCCGTTATCAGCTCTGAACCAGAAGATACTCTCTGGTCCCCAGAAACCCCCCTGGGGGGGACTCTGCCAAGTCACCTTCGTTGTCTTCACCAGTTCATGAGCGCGCTCAACAATACTCGCCCTTCTGTTCTGTGATCTCTATCATAGAAATACGACGGAAAAGAAGAGTTCTGCGGGCGTTTTAAGGCAGTTTGCCAGATTATATGAACGTAAATGCATCTGATTTAAATGAAAGGACACGTTCTGTTCTGGAGAGACAGAATGACAGGGTGAGAGACTGATGGACACACACACACACACACTCACTGCCTTTGCGTTGGCGGTAGAGGAAGAAGGCGAGCGCCAGCAGGACCAGAAGCAGCAGGATGAAGGAGCCCACCGTCCCACCGGCGATTATTCCCACCGGGACAATATCTGAAAGAAGCACAAGCGGAGATCCGGTTTGAGGGACCGAGTCAACATGGGACAGAAACATCTCTCTGTCTCTGTGAGACAAAAAGACGTACCAAGTCCTGGTCCTGGTACCACTGGACTTCAACCCAATTTAAAGGGAAACAGCTGATGGTCTCATTCATGGTCTCCTTGGTCATAAACTCGTTAACTAACGACAACGCGACAGTTTTTTCCATACCGGTCTCCTCCAGGGTGATGATCATGGTCCCGGGTCCGAAGGCGTTCCAGGCGGTGCAGTTGTAGGGCGAGTGGAAGTCAGACTCCATGACGTTGTTGATGGTGAGGGTGGAGACCACGGCCCCGCCCTGGGACGGAGGCTTGCTCTGCTCCACGGTGTACCTCTCCATCAGGGTGCCCTTCTCCTTCTCCCACACGTTCTCCTTCCACGCCCACACCTGAGACGCAGCGTTCAAAGGAGGATTCAGGCTCCTTCTGTACGACCGACGTGAGGGACTCAATTAACACAAAACTACCGTTATTTGAAGTAACTTTAACCAGGAATCTGCTGTTAAATGTCTTTGCTTATGAATGTTTGATCTATTTTATTTTACTATTTACAAACTAAATACTTACTACGTATATTTTCTTTAACAAGCTTTTGAAGCTCTTTTTCTAGTTTTAAAGCATTTTGTAAGTAATGTCCTTAATAAACTAAAGTAATACAGTCATGTCCTGTAAGTCATCATCGTATCTCATGAGCTACTATCTCATCATGATGACTTACAGGACCTGTTTATCAGTGGCTGACATGGGCTTCCATACATCAACCTACAACAGATGTAGATCGATTGTGATTCACTGCACTTGTATGTGTATTTCCACCACTTCATAAAATATATGTAACATGCAGTTGAATTACGGTGGTCTGCTATTGTTGTAAATTGACAGCTTTAACTGTTTATTCATGACATTGGCCGTTAATTTACAAGCAAGGGATGGAAATGTAACTGTTTGTTACAGTTATTATGACATACTGTAAAATACCGTTAGAAATGCACCGTAAATTTACAGCAATTTGTTACAGTGTATATAAGATGTCTCTATATATATGTAGTATGAAAAACAATCGACTCTCACACACACACACACACACACACACACACACACACACACACACACACACACACACACACACACACACACACACACACACACACACACACACACACACACACACACACACACATACAATCAGTAGTAAACACTCAGCAAACAGATGGCTGGTGTTAAAAGTTAAAGGAAACTAAAGTGAATGTGGGCAGGAAGCACATGTTAAAAACAAATGATATTCTCTACATCTTGGTAAATATGTATTTCATTTCTCCTGGTGCGGTATTTTCCTAATTAACGTTCTCAGGCTGGAAAAAAACGTTTTCAGACCGACACGGAGTGCAGGAAGCGCACAGGACGATAAAAAGATTTTTCTACTTAAACCTGCTGAGGTAGAAAAATGAGGATATTAAAAATGGAACATTGTAATATGAAATATACATATATGTTAAGTTAATGTACCTTTTAACCTAGTTTAAATGTGATCATCAGTGGAAACAAAAGCCCAAATGTCTCTCTTCCTCTCTGACGATGTGACGCGTCGTTTCTGTCGCCGCTCAGAATCCCTCCGTTCGGTTTCTCTCAGAAGGATCGTACCGCGCCACCTCGGTCTGGATTCTCTGTCTCTTTCTCAGTTTCCCGTTGCCTCTATCAGCACACATGCACACGGAGTCGTCCTCCATATTTTATAAGTCCTCGTGTCTCTGCATTAAGCCGAGACTACAGCGTCGTATCACATTAGAGGCCCTGAGCGCTCTGCAGGGCAGCGGGGGGCCGAAGCCTCCCAACACCTCTGATTTCTGTCATGCTGCCACTGCACGATTGGATAATTGACGCTGGGAGGTAAAGAATTGTATTCTCCCCCATCTCTCCCCCCTCCGACTCCGCGTGTTTGACCTTTTCTCACCCACCAGCCTTCAAACGCAGACGGTTTGACGTTTTCCCCGATTGTGAAGATTTGTGAGCATTTGGTATTTTGTTTGACCTTTTTTTTTACTTATATAAAGCACAGACTCTCTCCATTGATGAAGAAAGGCACTCGGCAGCTTTAGGAAAGGACAGTAATGAGAAAAACAGCGTATACTTCTGCAGCTACGGCACATTTAGGAGGATATTGCATCACTGGTGAAGCAAACTGTGTGAACGCTTTGTCACGGCGAAAAGGTGGTTGACGCGTTGCAAAGGGACCAGGGGGACGGTTTCACCTGGTGGGTTCAGGTCCTCCTAATATCAAGATATCAAGACAGTTTCATGGTCAAGACGACTGAAAAATGATTACTAGAAGTAATCAGCGGCCCCCCAACGTCTCAGTGCTGCGTCTCCTCGTTTCCACCAGACACTCCAGCAGCTGTTCTTGATGAGTCGCACCTTCCACCGCAGACGAGGAACAGATTGTCCCCCGAGAACAATGCCACCCCCCCCACCTCACCCCCCCATCCCCGAGCCGTGAGCTCCCAACACGAGCGGAGGAGGGAAACGGTGCTTCGTGTTTCAGGGCGAACGAGGAGATTCTGTGATCAGGATCCCGTTTGAGGCCGATGCCATCTGAAAAGGTCGAGCACCAAAGGACGGACTCACGATCTTATCGGGCGGGGGGGTGCTGGCGATGTAGCACTTGATCTCGCCTCGCTCCCCTCTGACGGAGTACTGGACGGGGTCGCTGGAGATGATGGGGGGGCCTGAGCGAGGGAGGAGGATGAGCAGAGAGAGAAAGGGGGGAAGGACACAGAGACAAACAGGGATTACTACAACCAAGCGGAAGGGTTTGGAGGTACACTTACATTTTATGACGCCCTCAGATTAAATCAACTCATGTCCCTTTTAGGTAAAATTAGAGGAGGTCTGACTGACAAATATATGACTGTGGTACAATTAAAATCCCTCCTGGTTCCTCCCGTGTGCATCGGCTAACAGAAAGCGGCTCCTTTAGGATCAGACCGTCGGTCACCACGGCGCTGAAGGACGTCACGCTGTGGCAGCCGGCGGACATTTAAGGAGCATTTGTGAACTCGCTCTTTCGTCATTGTGTTCTTGGTGAATCCGTTTTGATCCATTGAGTTAAATCCGGTCTCTCGGGGGGGAAGAGTTCTGACATTGAAATGTCGGCTCGGGGCCCGTTTGGAGATGAATAATTAGCAGCAGGCTTCAGTGACTCAGGCTGCGTGACCGTATCGTACTCTACTCTCTACATCTGGCGCAGAAACACGCATGACGTGTAGAACAATTACAGATTAAACAAACGCATCACGCGTGTTCATTGTTCAGGTGTTTGACACCGGGCTTTTCCCGTGAATAAGAAGATCTGTTTTCTGTTTTCACCTTTTCTCATAAACACCTTCAGCTGAGGTGCATCTCGCGAGTGAGTCGATAGCAACTGACCGTTGACGGTGAGCGTGACCTCCGTCTCTCCCACGCCGATCCGGGGCACGATGGCCTTGCAGACGTACTGGCCTGCGTCGGCCTGGCTCACCGACTTCAGGTACAGCTGGTTGTTGTTGCTGAGCACCTGGACGCACAGGAACATGCAGAAGGACGCAGGAGGACCAGGACAGCAGACGTGTGAGTGTGGTTGGAGACGGACCACAGAAGAAGAAGGAGGGAGATCCATGTTTAATTCATGAAACATGTTGATTTACTCCGCAGGCTCCATCAGAGCTTTTCTAAACTTGTTATATGAATAAAATATATAAGATATGAAGACGGAGTCTCGCTTCTTACGATGTGCTTTAACACAACTGAGCATGGTTCATGGTTCATGGGAACTAGTTTTGGATATTGGGTTTTCTGAGGGATCTGACAGTAGTTCTCGACATGGGATCCACTCCAACATGTTGATTTCTAAATCAGGCAGGATTCTAAAAGGATCGGTGGTTGGTTCTCACCATGCTGGAGCCCTTCTTGGTCCAGGTCAGGGTGAGAGGGGGGTTCCCAGACCACTTGCAGTTCAGAGTGACGTCAGAGTCCACGTCTACCGTGACCGGCCTCGGCTCCACTACCAGTATCGGTCCAACTGAGAGAGAGTCTGAGAATTAGAGAGTCCCTCCACGCAGACGCAGGTCAGTGGACCAGAGACTTGAGTCCTACAAACAAATCCAGACACCGGAGCAGTAAAATCACTGCAGTGCCGCCCAGCGGAGGGGGGTTCGTACTCACAGTGCACGTCCACCAGGATGCTGACGTTGGTGCTTCCCACGACGTTGAAGACCTGGCAGGAGACGGGCTCGGTGAAGAAGGAGTGATCCGCCGTGGTGACGAACACGCTTTCCCGGGCGCCCTCCAGCAGCACGCCGCCCTTTGCCCACCTGACGGAGACGCAGGTCACCGGACCTTTCGTGGTCAGTTTTCAGGCTTTTCAAATCATTGTCAGTCGATGGTTATTTGGTGGCGAGCCAAACGATGCATTTCCCCTGTTAGTGGTTTTATATCACCGTTTGGAGCTATTAAAGTAAAGTTTAAAAATCCTCCATGTAGAAACCTGAGGGTAAGATTACCAGCAGGAAAAAGGAATTTCTTTTCATTTCTGTTATCCGGATTTATAGCTCAAAAACTCACAGAAGCATATTGCACATCTGCCATTAGATGGCATTTTAATATACACTCAATAGGCTTAGTGCCGAAGTGCCTGGCAGTGCTCCCACACCGGGACCCTCCGGAGGAGTCTCAAACCTCGGATTAAAACCACCGGGTTTAAGTCCAGCATTTAACGATTAGTGTGCTTCAGGGCCGTCACTTAAGAATAAAGTCAGTGTTTAATTGTTTAACTGTTTAATACTGTTATTAATTCTGTCCTGCAAACCAAATTTAAAATTCATGATTCATGACGGAGGTTAAAGGCAGATTAGAATATAAGGAGGAAAATCTGTTGGTAACAGAATTGTAATCTTGCCCTTGAAGTTGGTCTGCAAACGATGACCATGATCAAAAAGTCCACCACATGATCCATATACAACTAAACCACAGCTAACCTTTGCGCACTAATGATCATGATACAAATGCATGATGACAGGGTTCATTTTCGCCAAGAATAAACATGTTACAGTACAAAGGGGAGATGTTTAAGGAATAATAGTGCTGTGCTAGAAAAGAGCAACAAGCTACGCGTGAGCTACGCTAATGTTAGCAAGCTAGCTGTTTCTCAGCTACGTGGCACCCATTGACCTTGTTGTGCATCGCAATGTTAGCGGATACAACTAAGGTACAAATGGCAAATTATTTAGTTTTATTTAAACAAAGGACGGAATGAAGTAATTACAGTTAATTACACTTGATATAATGTAGGATTGTAATGCAATGCCACGTCACATTGTGTAACATTGGACGTGGGACGAAGCAACAAGGAGTTGACTGCAGATCATTAATAACAACGATAGAACGGATCGTAAACCTTCAGAGGGAAATTCTGGTAAAATGTGATCCAGACCTGAAGCCAATGATGGGAGGGTTCCCTGTGGCCTGACAGGTGAAGGTGACCCTCTCGCCCTCCAGGACGGAGCGAGGTTCGATGGACAGGGTCACCGTGGGAGGGTCTACACGGGGGGGGGGGAACAGATTTGATGAACAACCGCAGAGGAACTGAATCACTGTTGTGTTTCAGCGGTTTCAAGCAGCAAGAGGATTGATTTCCCACACAAATAAGTCTAAACAAACGATGCATTTCACAATAAAATCTGGTATTATAAAACCTTGCAAACACAGCTCTGGTTCCACTACTGCAGCTATTCTCCCAGTGATTACCAACGACACTGGAACAACCCATTAATCTCCTTGATGGAAAATTCAAACAGCGGTTTGCTCGTGAGCATCATTGCTTATTTCTCCAGGGAAACAATTAAGATCTCACAGCACAAAAAGTGTCGGCTTTTCCAGATGTGGAAGAAAATGAACAATGGACAAAATAAGCCCCAAAGACTACAAAGCAGAATCAATGCAAACGGCCAGAATGGAGCCAGCCTGGTGAAACGTGTCGTCCGTGAACTCACGGTGGACGTTGAGGGTCACGGTGGCCCGTTTGCCCGTCGGCACCGCCGGGTTTCTGGCCACGCAGGTGAAGTTTCGGCTGCTGTCGGTGTCCACCGGCGAGATGGGCAGGTAGCTCCGGGTCGTCACCCGCTTCCGGTCCGGCAACACTTCCTGTTCGGCGAAGAGAGAGGGAGCGAGATCAGGAGACGGCAGAGTTTAGGGTGGGGAGCAAGACGGAGAAAGATCAAAGAGGAGGAGGAGGAGGAGGAGGAGGGACGAAGAACGAGGAAGAATGAATTGAGAACGAAGAGCAGGGAGGAGAAACGAGAGCGAGGAGGGTCATGAAAGGAGCCCAAGAGACGTTTATAAAGCATAACATGGAAATAGAAACAATAATCTAATCAAAGAGTTTACATATTGGAAAGTGAAAGGGAGTTTTGTGGAAATGTTCATCATAATTCATGAGGTTCTTGCTGTTGAGACAGAATTGATTTGGTGGGAATTTGCATTCGACGTTTCCACAGTTTGACATCATATAGATTATGAGGAGATCCTTATTTTAGAAATTCGGAAAATCGTTGATGGAAAACTCAATAGTTACAATAATTTTTGGCATAGAACAATAAACGTTTTTTTCTGCGAAATAGGAAAATCCATCCTGGCTGATTCTGGAGGTTCTTTTCAATGCAGCTGAGTGTTCGCAGCCTCCGTGTGGTCAGTAAGGCAATAACGTAAGAGCAGCATGTAATATGCATGAGCAGGTGTGTGGGGCATAAAACTGTCTGCGAGGGATGTAAAAACATCCGAGTGTGAGTCAGTGTTTGTTGTTCCCTCTGTGTGCATATGACAGCATGAGTGTGTGTGTGTGTGTGTGTGTGTGTGTGTGCTTGTAGGCATCATTTTGTGTGTGTGGGTGTCAAGCAGGGAGGAGGAGGACTCGGACGCAGAGGGTTCAGCTGATATTGCTTTTATTAATAACAAGGAAAAAACTCAAAATCTCTCTTAATGAGGAAAAAAGGTTGCGATCAAAGTTCAAAAGGAAAAAACTCAAAATCTCTCTTAATGAGGAAAAAGGTTGAGATCAAAATTCAAAAGGCAAAAACTCAAAATCTCTCTTAAACGAGGAAACGTAACAGGGATCAAAAGGACGTGACAAACGTTATCGGACTTGACTTGACTCGTGACGTGAGGGCTGGTGTGCAGGGCAAAACAACAAGACACACTGGCACAGGACAAGGGGCGACGCAGACTATAAGTACCCATGAGGGAGTTGTGGGAACAGGTGGACACAATCAGGAATCAGGGGAGACAATCAGACTGGTGACACATGAGGAAGGGCAAGGGACCTGAAACGAGAGGGAGTTAGTTTCCAAAATAAAACAGGAAGTCAAAAAACAACTGGAGACAGGACAAAAACGCAACTTGACATACAGGTGTGACAT